TTAAAATGAATGTAACTGTACTTTTTTTTTTAAAGGCTTTCCAATAAAGTCCTGTATCCATTATATATATATTTAGCATTCCTTTGGCTAAGTCGCCAGATTTCATACTTAAGGACAATAATTGAATACGTACGAGAAATAATCAGGTGATTTAAATTTAACTAAGGCATTAGCATGTAGTTTAGCATAGTAAAAATAGTATGATTTGTGGGAGGCAATTAACAATCATTTGCTCTGTGGATACAAGTAATTTGTTTAAAGAGCACTGACCTATGAGACAGCCAGTTTGTGTTGGCTGTGATGGAAGGGAGCTATTGACTCTAAACAGTGTCACCGTGCCATTGACAGAATCCCATTTGAATGCACACAAAAGATCTCGAAAATACTTGAGGAACATGAGCTCTTTTGGAGGGGGAAGTGGAGTGGGGGTTAACGGAGGGAAGCCAGCCAAAGCGGAGGTCCCTGTACCAAGGCAAAAACGGAGCCAAACTGAAAAACCTGGCCAATGTAGTGACTCAAGAGGGTTTCCCCCCCTTGGTGCGGTGCCAGCCTGAGAGCCTGGCCCCACTTCTTCAACATCAATACTTCCATCAGAAGGAACACAAACTGGGAGCGATTACTGGTCGAGTAATGGTTTCATAAGCTTAAAACTGAATGCAAGTCTTGGTGCGAAATAATCATTTTTATGTTCGCATCTAGCAAATGCATCGCAGACCTGGGAATGGTTCCACGTACTCAACCTTGGCTCTTTCTCTACCTCAGCTTTGGACGTGTTTGCCATCCAACGCCAACACCTTGTACAGCAACTGGGTACAGTCTACTGCGAACGACCCATTGTCTCCTGACAATTTGGGTCATTTCTTCAACCGAGCAAAAGAAGTTGTCAAAATAAAGGCGTGGAACAGGAACGTTAGGGTGAAATCAGTCCGTGTTAGAAGTTAAAAGTGCCAAATAACATTCTTTGAAACTATTTGAACACACACCGGGTCCGACTCTACTTCCTGGATTCGCCAGGACATCATTATGCAAAATACACACCTAGAGAAAACAGTAACGCCGCAGCACAAAAACATTGTAAATACAGCACTGCCACTCATCTTAAAGTAAACCAACAGAATCTGCAGAGCTTCAAATATGTGTGTAAAGGTGCAATTTTATCTGTAACATAATTTCATTTAGAAGCATACAAATCACAATTTGGCATAATCAAATAACGCCGCAGTGCTTATATTCTAATTAAAAAATAATCTCTGATATTTAATTTAGAAACCTGGATGACTTTACCAGCAAAATGATGGCTACAACCTGCCCAAACCACTCGATTTAACCAGATGGATAGTTTTTTTTTTCAGGTAGCACTTCAAAAATTATTATTAAACAAGCAAACGGTGCACTGTTCGATATCTATTAAAACAAGTATTGTACCCAGTTATTAATTTGCACTATTCACTTTTAAATGCAGCAAATACCTCATTAATTTAATTTTAGGTGCCCACCAGTTTATATTGCATTTTACAGTCTAGAAGGCAATTTACTATTAACTGGCAATTACATACAGAATGATTGTTAATTCTGCCTCTAAGTGCTAGCTGCTTGAAAATTGTTATCTCTCTCTAATTTTTGACCTTCTTACAACAGGGGTGAGGTACACTGGGAATACAAAGGACTAGTAGAGAAGAGCTGGACATGTCATTTGTGACTCATTCTTTTAATTCACCGTGCTAATCAACTGAACTGCCACAATCTCCCAAGGTAATTGTATCTTTATAATAGTTGAAAGCGGCGGGCAAAAAGGCACGGATAGATGGGGAAAGGCCTTGCCTTCGCCTGCTGAGAGCCGGCGCGCTCTTCCTTCTGCGTGAGACTAATGGGGGCTTTTCAGAAAAATCTGGAACTTTCATATCTCTCTACCCTGATCATTTAATGTCTCAACTTCTCGGCTCACAAAGGCTTTGTACACCACACTACACTCTTGTTTCATTATTCCGCAGCCTTGTTGCCCTATGGTCTACCTCCTGCTGGGAAGGTTAAATGTTAGAGTGCCAAGCCAGACTGCAAGCATGGTGGGACACTGATGGGAAACAGATGCCCTGGGGATTCAGCCCCTCCCTCCTCCGGGGCTACATCATTTTCATTTTCTGAAATACAGTGAGGTTTGGCTTTGCTCTCTATGGCAGCTGTAATTTCCAAAGACTATCTCAGTCACCCTATCACTTCAGGATAAAGCAAAGCAGGCAGAAGTTTCTCCGTCAGGCAGACGCTGGCTTTATCTTTTTATTTTCTTATTGCCGGGATAGAGGTTTTTTTCTCCCTCAAAAGGTGTTTTAAATACATATTCCCGTTAAAGTGTTGTGAGGAATGTAACTTTATTGCAATTTAATTCCGGCGGGAGAAGCTCCTGACATTCTCACCATTCTTTTGAACATCTTTACTCAGCAATAAAGACAGGCGACCCCAGGAAAGAAGAAACAAATGGCCTTTCCTTACAGTTGCACACGTATTTGCATTTACACGTTAGGAAGTAGTTCAAAACAGCAAAACTTGCCAAATTTGCAAAATCCACACCCAGGAATTCAGTTGAAGACATTGCTAGAAAGGAATTCAAAATTCCAGGAGCGTGCACTGAGAGCCAGACCATCATCTGGTTCAAATCTGCAGCGCTTCCCTGCGTGCAATGGCACCGCACCAGCTCGCCACGGCTACAATCTCTGGAACTTACTCCAAGGCTTTTAATTCATTCTGTTTTCTTTTTTCTTTTATTTTGCTGAACACTTATCTTAGCTAAATAGTCCCACTTGTCAGGACACTCTGCTGAAGCTTTGCACAGACTGTGTTTGTAATAGCAATTTTAAGGTTGCACCGCGACTGCGCGCAGCCCCACCTGTGGTCACCACCTCCTCAGCAGACTATGAAACAACGTCAGCTTTCCAAATATGTTGTTAGCACCAAAAACACCACAGGCACCACCATCCCATTTGGTAACTCTAGTAACAACCCCATCAGAAAGCTCAAGAAAATGTAAATATTCTCTCCCCCGTCAGCCAGAAGTGAGGTACCCGGGTGTGAGTGCGAGCATTGGTTTTGCTCAGGTTGTGATTTCTTTGGGGATAGGTGGAAGATAGGAATCTCAGATGCCACCTTCACTTAAAAGTTCATTTCAGCAACAGATCTGAAGCAGACAGCAAAACATACCCACGATGCGTTAACCGTTTAAAAAGTCCTAGCTTAAAACTACCCAGGAACACACTTTTTCCCATTAGATCTAAATTAATAGATAGAAACAGTTGCAGTCTAGTGGGAAAATATTCATCAAAATGCACATCATCTGCACATCATCTGCAATCTGCATTATCTACCCAATAAGCAGCAAGAACTCTCCCCGAATCCCTGCAGTCTGTCGAGTAAACAGTTAAAGGCTCTTTGTTTTCAAAAGAGAGATTGATTCATCAGATCAAATTTATTACCTCGAATCCTCATCCAAAAGCACGGTAGATTAAATTGCTATTTCTCCCCTTTCCCTCCCAGCACCTCAGTTAAATTCATCGTTAAATGCCAGAAAAACAGTAATACACATTTTAGATAAAAAGCTAGAAATACTTCATCCCAAAGTAAGAATTTTCATATTAAAAACCACTGGAAACCACAAAGTTCCGACTTTTTCTGGTGCTCTTGTAAATTGAAATCAAATGTATTTAAAAGAATTGGCACAAATAAATCATTCCCAGGCTTGTAAGCTTGTATCCCCAGTTTTGAGTCTGAAAGACTTTTTTGAGCCAGATTGTGAATAAAGTTGGATAAAGTTATTTGGATCCAACAACAGCTACTTGAACCGGTGCCTAAAACTTCAACTGAACCTTTAGGGAAGTTCAAGAAGTTTGGATAGATAGACTGAAAAATATTTTGCATCACTGAATACTTCTTAACCTCTTTTTTCTGGCTGGAATGGAGTAGGAAATACCGTTGTTAATCTATTTCTGGCCAAGATGAAAACAGGAAGTAACAAGCATCTTGTGAGAAAGCTTGATCTCAGGAGACATCGGGACATTTTTAAGACCCCAGAGGCTCGGATAGACACCAGAGCTTCTGGGTGCCCATACGAAGAGGTATTTTGAGGTCCAGTTACCACCAGTTAACCTCTCCTGCAAGACGCATCCTATTTTTCAACATTGTCACGTGCAGGCTTTGCCCTGCTTATACAGCATTAAGGGATTGGAATTTTTGTCCCAAAAGGAGTAAGGAAACCGTACACTTACCAGTGTAGACAAATCGGCCGGGAGCACCTTTGCAGAACTGTTTGGATTTGTAGGAGAGAGTTACTTCAACAACTCCTGGAATGTGCCGTGGTGGTGTTTGAACTCTGATGGCGTGGGGTGTTATCAGCTATAAAAATCGTACAGAAAACATACCTTAAATCAAGATGGCAGTGATAAGACTGATGCCAGCCTGTTTACATAATTACAAAAACGACTTTCGATCGCGCTCGTGGTCTCAACCTTCTCCCTTCTTGCTGTCACGTTGGAAGATAGGGGTTCTACAGAGGGGGTTTTTTTAAGAAAAAGCTCTGTAAATGATCCTTGGGTTTCTTTTGCAGGAAAGGCCACAGGGCATCATTCATATGAAAATTGCCTCCATATGTCTCCTTACGGCTACTTCTAGTAATTTTAACACTAATTGTCCAATTGTACTGGGAGACCTCCTACAGCAAGTCTTCCACTAGAGGGCCATGACGTGCCTCAAGTACGTCTCTCTCCATGTAGTCAATTGTCGCATGCGAATTCATGGTTAAAAAGGCACTGTGAAACAAAATCTCATGATACCTCATGTCAATAGCCTATTGACAGCTTGTTAAAATCATTCATGGAAAAATGTTACAGTTCAAAGCCCACCAATTTAGATAGCTTACCTCGCTCCAGACCAACATAGTTCCAAATACGACTTGTAAGCCATCAAAGAAGTTGTCTCCGATTATGATGACAGTAGCCCCACCAGTAGTCCAGCCT